CATGAGGGCCAGGGTTAAAAGAGAAGTCACAATGTGATCATTTCTCACTCAAACCACAAAATATAACCGTCTCTAGTAGGATCTATAAAGACTGGATAAAGTGGCTATAAAAGATTGGATAGAATCTGCATGCAGCTTTAGCTGGATATTGAGCACCTAATTCTAAATACAAAGCTCCAGGTTTTTTTTACTTTTAATTCTATTCCCACACCAAAAACAAAAAACCTCAACAATTTGTTAAGTCTAATGTGGAGTTACAAAAATATTTTGAGAATATTTTTAAGTTACACATAAGTGTTTCACCTCCCCAGCTACTGTCTCTCCACAGGTGGACTGAGGAAGGCCTTAAATTCGCTTTTTAAAACAAGTTTAACCCTGCTTCTTGAGACATTATGGCCTATACTTATGCAGTATAGTGATTTGCAACTGGTAGGCTACAAGAGAGGTCAGGTGACTGTGTCCTACCCCACCACCAACCGCCATGTTTCCAGTGCCAGGCTGCTCCATGGGTGTAGTTCCCTGATTCAAGAAGCAGCAGAACCACCTTTAATGTAGTACTGTGGGCAACTGAGAGACACAGTTGTAACTGCACAAATTATGTTCATAGATACATGTACAGAGGCTTCTGGAGCATATCAGGCAAGCAGATCATGAGAGGATAAGCTGAGGTTGTGCGTGGTGTCCAAGGGAGTTTAGTTTCAGAATGACAGGTTGGGAGGAATGGTGCAGTCAGGGAGGGAGGGTGAGCTGCAGGAACACAAAGGTACAGAAACAATGACATTTTACAATACTAGACTATATTGTGAAAAATAAGAAGTTTGTACTTTGCAAGTGGGTGTATGTGGGAAACATCCCGATAATAGGAAGAAGAGTAGGCCAGGGAGGGCTCTGGGCCATACTGGGAGGGTGGATAAAGCAGCATAAATGTGATCTAAATGGGTAAAGGGGAACAAGACCCTAAAATAATTTAGCAACAGCTATTTGTATTCTTCCATTATCCATTTCAATTGCAATTTGGTATACAAATTCTAGCTGAATCCAAGACCCAGACAATCCAGTTCTCTGCAAATATTCTTTAGTATATGTTAAAGTGAATTTAGTCAGGCTTTTGGCCTCTCTGACTAGAAAAACAGACCGAGACCAGAAGTGCTGATACTGCTTATTTCAGTTATATGTTTTGAGATAAAAAAATCCTGCATTATTACTCTGTACACAGATGTCCAATTAAGTAAGTTTGTTTTAGTTTCTTCAAGGTCGTATTTTTTTCTTTTTATCTGTCTTAAGTATAAAAATGCTTAGAAACTTAGGGAGGGAGAGGATTCCTTTGAAAGACAAGTGGGTAATTCCCCTTGCTGTATGGCATTCTCCCTGTGACCACAGTATAGCCCTCAATAAAGAAAAGCTGGCTCTGTCAGTTCTGATTCAACCACAACGCAAAGTTTGATTTCTTCCACATATGTGAATTTTAGTGGAGAGAACAGCAATTTCAAAAACAATCATGGAAACTCAGTTACATCCCGACAAGAAGCAAGGGGGGCAGGAGTGTCCGTAAGCCCCCCTGGCTCACCAAGGGCGTCCAGGACTGCCTGCTTGCCAAAAAGGCGGCGTACGCCCGGTGGAAGGGGGGTGAAATCTCCAAAGAGGAGTATACCTCCTCTGCTCGGGCCTGTAGGCGAGCTGTTAGGAAGGCCAAGGCGGACATAGAGCTCGGATT